GGTTCGTTTGTGGTGAGAACGTGTTCCGACCTGGATCTGAACCAACTGTAGTCACATGACACATTGTTTGGGTTAAACATGAGCATGTTACAGTCCTGGAGGATTATTAATGTGCGCCTCCTCCTGTACTGCCTTAATATGCACATTCAGCACATCCAATGCATCAAAAGATTGTTTTCTAGTTGGAGCCGCGCCTCGTTTTCAAACTGTATGGTTTGACTAAAATGAACAATGACAGCAATATAGTCCATGATGACCAGCGCTACAATCAACCTGTGTAGTTGTCCCTCCATTGTGACATTAGAAAGTGTCACATTTATCTTGCAAGTGTACTCTTCTTCAACGTTTTGTTTACTTCCTGGATTTTTCCCTCATGGAAGTTCTGACCAATCAAGAGCAGCTTTCTCACGCAAGACATTTGATCTGGTCTGCTTGTAAATGCTGCCGTGAGAACACGAACCAACTCTAGGCAATTATGCAACTTTGTAACAAAATGAGTCCCTGATTTGGACCAAAGCAAGACAACTCTAGGTCTGAAAGCACCCTGAGTTGCACTGTATGAAGCCTGGATGACAAAGTTGTTGTGTTTTTTGTCTCTAAGCGCAAGAAAGGCGGCGACATGGATGAGTTTGTCAACGATGACTCTGACGAGGACCTGCCACTGAAGAAGAAGAAGAAGAGGAGGCCCGGCAGTGGCAGCGAGCAGGAGGAGAATGAGGATGGAGAGAAGAAGCCACGCAAGAAGAGAAGGAAGTGAGTCTGCTACACTCGCGTTCATTTGGACTGCTGAACATGGCATATAAGATACTCACAGTAGATTTCTGTGTTTCATTACAGACCCACTAGAGGAGATGACAGTGATGACGAAGAAGGAGGATCACGACCCAAGAAGCAGCGTAAACAAAAAGAGCGCAAGAGGATTGAAAAGGTCCTTTGAGTTTTCTTTGATTTGTTCTTTTATTGTGATTTATGTTCTTGAAATCCTTCTGATATTAGTTTCTTTTTGGACAAATTTATTTATATGTTTAACATCTTTTTATTGTTTGTAGCCGCAGCCTGAGCGTCTGCCTCCGTCTCTGAAAGGAAAGATCAAGTCTAAGGCTATCATCTCCTCCTCTGAGTCCTCTTCAGACGAGGATGGCCTGAAAATAGCTGAAGACAGGTAAGAGCGTGAACTTGTATTTGAGAATTTACACTGAAACAACAGAAAATTGATAAGCTCACTTTCTCCCATACAGACATCAAAGAGACAGTGGCTCAGGATCTGATGACGAGGGCGACCACAGGAAGCGTATTGCGTCTGACAGTGAGTCCGATGGAGGTAGGAACCGCTCTGGCAGTGAGGCCGGCAGCCCTCGGCGCTCCGGCAGCGAGGCAGGCAGCCCGCGACGCTCTGCGGGCTCTGAGGACGATGAGTCAGGCAGCTACCGTCCAGTGAAGAAGAGGAGGGTGCAGCGGCAGTCCGACTCTGAGCAGTCGGACAATGAGAGCAAGAGGAGTCAGTCAGGATCCGACGATGAGTCCCGGCCTGGTTCCCCTGTCGCAGCGTCCGACCGGGGATCAGACAGGGGATCTGAGGTGGGGTCAGACAACGAGGGCTCCCCACGCCGCTCTGACAACGGCTCTGAACGCGAAGCCTCCAACAACGACGACGACAGCGATTAAATCCTCCTCACAGACTTGTCCCATGTTAACGCTGAGAAAACTCTGCACATCTGTATTTTTATTTTCTATTAAAAGCAGGGATTTCTGTCTGTACGATATTTTGGAATTAGCCTAGAGAAGTGTAGTTTTTTTGTTGGCACAGCCACTGGTGTATTCCTCCCGTCTTACTGGATTTATCTTTTCACGGATGCTGTGTTTTGTTAAAGATGTTTTCTGTAAAGACAGATCAAATTGTTTGAAATGAACTTAACGGTGTAAACATCTATTTTCTATCTCAGATGGTCAGACCAGACACTGACCCAAAAATGGGAAGATTCTTCAACACAATATCAAATAAAAGAAAATGGAAACAAAGAATTGTGTAACGTGGATTGTTTCAGGGCTCGGTAGTAACGGATTACATCAGGGTTCCCATGGATCCTTAAAAATTCTGAAAAGGCATTAAATTAACTAATCTGCCATGTAATATGTATTCAGTTACCAACGACATCATGGTAACATTGTCCAATTAGAAAAACAGCATCAACTTAATTGAAATGGTTCTTCTGTAGTGAAATGTCACTGTGAATACTGATAAACTGGAGGTAAATTAAAAAATGACTGCAGATCCATTAAAATTTAAGCAACAAACTTTATCCGCAGTGTGTCCTTAACTTGGGACATTTTATAATTTCTTATAACTGCAAGCATATGACCCTGCTGATGATACATGTACTGATTTCTGCAACTAACTGAAAGTTGTTGCAATTGGCTTTTAAGAAAATTGCACATACACTCACCGGCCACTTGATTAGGTACACCTTGCTAGCACCAGGTTGGACCCATTTTGCCTTTAGAACTGCCTTAACTCTTTGTGGCATAGATTCCACAAGGTGCTGGAAACATTCCTCAGAGGTTTTGGTCCGCATTGACATGATAGCATCACACAGTCGCTGCAGATTTGTCGGCTGCACATCCATGATGAGAATCTCCTGTTCCACCACATCCCAAAGGTGCTCTATTGGATTGAGATCTGGTGACTGTGGA